AGAATCACTTCAAACACTTCAAAAAGTCGTATGTGCAAAAAGAATCAGCCAATGGAAGAACGCAAGAACAGACATGAAGTTCACGAATTCACCGCCTGTTCGATCGTTCGACGAATTCACCGAAGGGCCACGCCACGCGTGGTCGAATGGGCCAACGACGCTGACGCCCGTCCGACCAGCTCCGCTGGATCCGCACGGTCGGTCCATCTACGAGGACGGTCGATCATACATCAGGCCAATCCAAATCAGTGTTTGCGGTGGAAGGATGGAGTCTGGCATACGTGGCTTTACCCACGTCAACTGTCCAAAATCAAAGTGATTTGGGTTCCCAGATACACATGATGTGACAGCCACGGAATACATGTGACCTTGCCCCTGTGCGGGGAACAAGCGGGAATCGCTGACGCTTGGTCGTGATTGGCTTCAACCACCCCGCCGCCTTTGAGTCAGGCAATTTACAGTTTAAGAAGGACAACCGCTTTTTCGAAGGCTCACTATTAAGATTCATCAGGACATCCAGGACATCCGGGAGACGTGTCGTGGAGTGTAGAAGCAGCAAGCTCGCTCACCAGTTACATGGTACCCAGCAAGCTCACCAGACTGGAAGTGGCAACGACTTCACTTAGATGTTGGCCACTTGGGATTTCGACGTTCAACTCGATGTTGGCATCGAATCCCAGTGTTGCCGCTCCTGTTGCCTTGCGTGTCCTTTTTCCAACGAACTCCTCTGGGCCGCTTCCAAGAGCGTCAAGAACTGGGCAGCTTCTGAGCTTCGTTGAAGCTGTCAAGTCAAACAGCTGAGTCCGTGACATGACAACAAAACCATTTGCGGCGGCGCTGGCGCTTGAAAGCGCCAGTGGCTTCCATTTTGTTCCATGCTCTCCATGCCACGTAGCTGGCAGGTGGTCGCTGGCCGCCTCGACCTCGTAGCATGGCACCCAGCTGGTGGTGCAGCTGAGTCCTGGACTGCCAGGTGGTAGGTACTACATGGGCCCTGTACCCGGCCTCCACGGCCGGCCTGGTGGCCCTGCCAGAAGAAGTGCGTGACCGTGGCTTGACTTAGACTTCGCGTGAGGGCGTCCACCCACTTGGACAGTGCGGACAGTGAAGGCCAAGGTAGCCAAAAGCACCTTCCACAGTCTTCAAGTCCTGAACTCGAAGTGAACCATCTCTAAGTCCACCACCATCCATAGAGTCACAACAGCAAACCCTGCCATGTGCCATGGAACATCCCGGGTCCACGGCAACGCCGAAGCCAAGCATCTTCAACGTAGAAGTACCACCTGCTGGAATCAATTCTTAGGTTCCATGTTGGTTTTCCTGGGCACAAATCACGGTCCAAGAGCCAATATCAAACACCATGATACGGATCATATTCCACCATATTCCACCAAATGTGTTGATGAACAAACGTGGACCAACTAAATCCAACTAAATATGGGTGACTTAGAAAAAACATGAAAAAAAGGTTGTTCCACAGCAGTCCGTCCAACCAGCATTAATTGAAAGGGTGTTCTTACCGAACAATACCAAACCAGGCCATACCAGGGCCCAACCGTTTTCATAATTATATAATTGTCTTGGAAGTCTACGGTGTTCACCGGCGATCATACCAAAACGAGCAAGGTGGATGGATCAAACCCCATCCCCTCGAGATGGATCCTATGACTGGACACGGCACCCATCCGTGTTTCCCGTGCACGGCTGGCTCGGAGAGTGATGCATCTCACTCTCAGTGATGTCTGTACTTAGGAACAATAGAGGGTCAATGACAAATACCGGAGAAACCTTGGGGGTATCCACTCGATTCAACCAACCCTTTCTGACTCCCTGAGTCTGTTGAAAGAAAACATGTTGAATTGTTTCTACCTGTTCCATCTATCCACCAGGGTATTCCCGGTTAGCCCGCGACGCTCTGGTTTGTTTAGAAGGGAAACGAATCCCCCAAGAATGTGTTTATTTTTCAGGTTATCCACATCTCCAGGGTAGGTCATCCAACTGGCCCACTGTGACTTCGGCTCCCGAACACTTTCACATAGGACCCGTCCTGCGTCCGAGTCTGGTGCTGAGATCGAACTGGTCAAAGAGGTCCGGTCCAGTCAGTGGTCCCTATCCCACACACGACCTGTCTGGGACTGCCAGGACGGACTGCCGCCCCAGACAGTGTCTGGGTATGGAAACCTCAAGAACTTGGAAGTCTTCATCGAACCCCCCTCAGGACTTGGCTGGTCCCCTATTGGCTTGGTGTTTGGGGCGTCCCATGTGCTCAAAACAGCATGGTCGGGGTCGCTGTTGGTTCTCATCTATGGGCGCATCGCGTTGGAAATTCCCTACACCAGTGCCGTTTCACCTGTGTAATTTGTGCGGGAAAGCTGCACCAGAAGCTTTCCGCTGCACGTCCTTACCCCTGTGACCCATGAATCAATGCAGCCACAAGGCAGCATAACCGGCTCAGTTCCCACACCATTCAAGAAGCCAGCGCAACACAGGAAAGGTTCCAGCGCAAGCTCAGGAAGACACTTAACACTTCCCCAAAAAATGGATGACAAGCAAGTCTCCAGTTGGAGACATGGAGATATCACACTGATAAGAACAAATACTACGCGAATACTCGTAGCCAACAGCTACACTTGATCGGCCCAATTCCGTCCTTGGCGAGGAACGCCATGACCCGATGGTAGGCCCCTTCCCTGAGCACGATGCTCGGTCTCCCCGTTAGTCCAAAGAACTTGGATTTGCTTAAGTTGCCTAAGGAACCTGGAAGAAGTAAAAGGTATTATAGGATGTATTTGAGGACTTACCCATATAGGAACATTTAAAAGAAAAACATAAATATTATGTTTAAAAGAAACACACCGCAAAACCAGGTAGTGTATGTGAGGTACAGGAAGTTCCCACACATCAGCTCCACTGTACAGTCGAAAGACCATTCTCTGACGTTCCGCACGGCAGACTCCGCTGGCGGGTCGGGCGACGCAGCCCGGCGATCCACTGGGCGGTCCCGGCAGGGCATGGCCGTGGTGCTCTTTGCACGCCTCTCGGACCGGTGAGGAAGCGTGACCATCGAACGAAGGGGCTCCGTCGATGCTGGGTGTAGACCCAGGGGGACCGAGACCAAGGGGCGTTACCGCCGGAGGGTTTGGGAAATGGATCTCGACTCGATCGATATAGACGCGACCAGTCTGGGACTGCCAGTCCGGACTGCCGAGAAACGGCCAGGGGTGGTGCCAGGGGGGTCAATGTAGGCTATATATGATGCCATACATGGAGTGTATGGGTGATATACGTGATATAGCTGCTTTAAAATGCTCTGAGATTCACTTTGAAAAGTGCTTGATGTCCTTTTCCAATCCTGTTGGTGTCAGGATACCGAACATGGTCGAGTAAAAGACTCCGACCGTTGACCTGTGAGCCTAGGAGCGAGGCACCCTGTGGTCAGCCACCTCAAATGAACTACGTGTACTCAGAAAAATTTCCAACATGGTCACAACATGCTCATAACATGGTCTGTGAAGCCCTACCCACTTGACTCTGCGTTCCCTGCCTTAAACAGCTGCAAGACTCCCTCCGGCTCGCACTTCCTGCGTGAAACCACACGCTTGGAGCAAGGGCTGCCCATTGAAGTGCGTGTCTCAGTTCGTCCCAAGGGCATCTCTCAATTCCCCCTCTCCTGACTAGAGGTCTGGTGCTGCAGCCGAAGGTTGCTGCGTGGTGTGGGATTTGCCTCAAGAATAAAACCATGTGCAAAGCAAGGCGGTTCAACTCTTCTGCCGAGGGTTGAAGCCTTAACTTCTAGGGGCGGTCCCCCAAATTGAAGTAAGGTTGCACCCCCCAGCCCAACCTGCCCTGCCAAAATCCGTGCCAACTCAGAAGCCCGCGACACCTCCCAATGGGTCCAAAGCCCTAAACCCAAAACGTCTCGAGTCTGCGCATGGCCAGCCCAGAGTGACGAAGGGGAGCAGGGAACCAGTGATCCTTCCTTCCGCCATGGGTGGTTCCACTAGATGTGCCCCAGGATGGTGCCACACTCCAGGAACTCGGCCTGTCCCTGCTCACTTCACTTCTCTTTCCTTTTCATGATACTGCACCTGCATCGCCTGCATCACTTTTGGACTACTACTCATTGAACGACCTGGCGAAAACACCCTCTAAGTCTGACTCCTTCCCCGCGCACGATCGTTTCAAGGCTGCTCCTTTGAAAGCTTCTCGAAGCTTTGGGGTGGAAACATGTGGACACTCAACCTGGCTCGCTGCTTCGGCTGGTCACGTGTCCTCCCCCGTTTCTCGCTCCGCTCGCCCGACGCCGCCTCCCGTAGGCATCGATGGCCAGCTCGTAGCCTTGGAGGGAGTCGTGGCCCTCGCGAAGGAAGCGGTGGAAGTACAGTACAGTCCCTGTTTTCCCTGTTGAACAGTCCAGTCATGACTCACTTTACCCCGAACTGGCACTGCGGTAGTGGTGGAATATGACTACCAGGTGGAGCAAAAGGAAGTCATTGGAAGTTCTGGCTTTGTAGACGAAGATCTGTTCAGGGGCCATATGACGGAGCCCAACTGCACTTCCATGAGTGTTGGAGAAGAGAGGGCAACTCTCGAAGTCTGTCATGAAGTGGGCCGCCCTACCCCACCCCCCTTTTCCCTGAGGAAGAAGGGCCCGACCGGGTCTTCTGGGCACTTCCTCAGGGGCACATCGCCCAAAAAAGAGGGACTCACCCGACATCGAACATAGTTTCACGTCCGGCATCGACCTCCGAACTCTTCCAGCCTCCGAAAACATCTGGCGCGACGCCAGTTGGCCCAAGAGTGTGAATCTTCCCAAGTGGTATATATCTCTCATGGTTTCGCCAAAAGACTCATTTGATGTCATTTGGCACATCCCAAATGTGGACTCCATGTCTGGACTCCAAGTGGTTGGTGGTGTAGGTGGCGGATGACCCCTGGCTTCCCCATCTAGACTTCCAGCCAACAGCTTGCTTGCTTCCAACCTTCCACACCTGTACACGATGTCACTCCCACTCCTGGCCGTTCGTGAAGCCCAGCGGCATTTCATACAGGGCGTGATCTCGTGCTCCAGCATCTCCTCTGAAGGTCGAAGGTGGACTAGGTGGTCCATCCCTGACAACCCATAAAACTGGCATGATGATCATGATTTCCCACCTGAGGGGTGGCTCTATGGGTCAATGTCAATGTCAATGTAGGTAAATACATGCAGGTATGAAGTGTCTATGCCGATCACGGGGGGTGGATGAGGGACTTCAAATGATCAAAATGGTCATTTAGATTGGAGTTCACCACTTAGTTTGTACTTGAAAGTAGTCTTCGAGGGTCAGAGATGGTCATTTCGTGTCATAGCTTTTTCTACCACTCCACCACAAAGAAAACCTTCCGGTTTCTTCCCTTCGCTCCACCCGAATTCCTTCAACCACCCCCACACACGCTTTCCCCGAATTGGACCGCATCACCCACGGTTTCTTCCGCGTCTCATCCGGACATCCATCGGCAGACGTCCGGGTGGACTGAACGTGGGGGTTCACCCGGAGCTCCCGGTCACTCGGGAGCTCCGGTCTCCAGGGACGGTCGAATTTGACTTCAAAGTCGCAGGTGGACCTGTTGGAGGCTCCTGGAATACATATTACATCTTATTACATGACAGTGGTCCCATGAACATGACCCCAATGTAGGTAACGATTCCAGTCTCATGGATGGTTCCATCAACGGAGCGCGCGCTTAAAATATGCTCGCCTCAATCAACTGCACGATCTTCTTCCAGCGCTGTGCCCTCACATGACCAACGAACACACCGGGGATTAGAAGCCGGTGGACGGCATTAGTACGTTAGCCTATAGGAATTCTGGGCCGGTCCCAGATGTTCATAGTAAGAATCCCAAACCAACCATTGTTTGACTACGAATTTTAGACTACAACAACAAGCTCTATAGACCTAAGCGTGTTGTTTTGTGGCGCACGACCCAGACCTTTCGATTTATCTCGCACACAACAAGTCTGACTCACCTAGCTGGTTTCTATGATGAAAATGCAAATCTTTTGCATAGTTTGGAAGATCCAGGTATATATGTCATTGAGTTCGGATCGTTTTGGGCCTGGTACGAACCTCGTTTGCAACAGGTGGCAGCTGGAATGTGTCATACGACACCACACCACAGTCGTATTTGTCTGTGATGACTCAGGCCCTGCTCCAAAACCTGCACTGCACATAAAGGAAGCAAAAAACGTTTGATGATGCTTGATGGAGACTTCATTGTTGGCACCTCCCGTTAGACTCCTCCAGCAGCCTGGCACTTGAGGCATCTCTCACCGGACAGCTAAGTAACATGATGCCGACGATGCTTGATATCAATGTTTCTCGAGGAAACACGCGCAGGCCCATTCACATCCCTACAGTGTGGAGGAAAACCAACTTGCCAACCAGGCGGAGATGGAGATCTCACGCTTCACTTACCAAACTCAGTCTTCATGGCACCTCAGTTTTGTCCTGATTCATCCTGATTCCCTTCATTTCCCTGGACCATGAAACTCACGTCACTTCTTTCCACCGGACTACTAAAGAACACCAAGTCCCAGCCCCCCCCGATCGGCCCTGACCGCGGTCGCGTGACCGCCGTGTACACCGCCGTCCGCCTCCGCAGGCCTTTCATGACCTGGACCGAGCTGACGCCAGCGACGGTGACGGACGCCGCGGTGTCGGTCGGAGAACGAAGTGTTGAACGGTTCGGACGGTTCATTCACAGGATGGGTGGTGTGTGTGTGTGTGTGTGTGTGTGTTTCATGGTGTTTCTCGGTCCCTCTTTTTCGATATCCCTTGATTGTTCCTATGGTCTGTGGTTTTGCATGAAGAAAATAGGCTCTATGATTATGAAATATCAGGTGTAGGAGAGGCTCACTAGGACGAATGTTGCTTTAAGGAAACCAGGCACAAGACTAGGACCCCCAGTCAGAGGCACACCGGCATATGCCGTCGGAGACGGGCCGGAGACGGGCCAGGTGCAGGTCCATCGCCGGTAGAGGAGTGGACGTAAAGACAGGAAGAAGGACTCCAGCATCCACCCGTTTACTGGGAGTAGAAGGTGCGTGTTGCAGCAGAGCGCCGCGAGCAAAGCCGGGTGGTGGCCATTGAGGGATTCGTCGTTGCAAGGGCCCCAAGTCAGGCCGATCTGCAAAGTACTGCACCTGCCACGAAATCTGCAGTTCAAGGCCACAAAGCACCTGCCACAAAAATCTGCACCTCAAGGTCCAAGGCTTGGCTTTATGTTGACAAGAGAAAAAGAGGACCCTGCGCTGAAAAGGGTCGAATCGGTGGGTTGATCTGGCAGTGAGCTGGTGGATGGATGTTGGAACCAAGAGTTTTGAGTCCTGGTGAATGCTTTAGACGCAGAAGGCCGTGGGTCTCGGCGCCGGAAGACCGACCCTCAAATGGGAAGGGACCCGGGCTTTGGAAGCCGGGCTTGGCAATGGACCTGACTGGAAGACGATTCTCCTCTACCACCCAGTGGTTTTCAGGTTCGGAGCAGGTCAACCTACTAGGGCGGTCTAGCGGGCTGGACCCACGCACCCCAGTCAAGTTCCCCCCAGAAGGGAAGAAAACCACCCTCGGTGCAGCATGGAACACTGCGGTTCAAAGAATCTTGACATCTGGTGTGGTGTAAAGAGTTTGCTTCCTGAATTGCACTCCTGCTTAGTATGTCTGTTTATAACTGTCCAGAGTTATCAAGGTGCTATGCTGCGTCCTCCATCAAACACCTACCCGGACCATCCACTGGGTGTTCAATGGAGAACCCCTAGGTAGTGCTGGCCATTGGCCACGTCCTGGTATAGATTATGCTTAGTTCCTGGCTCTTGCCAATTTCGTGTACAGCTAAAGCCGTTCAACATCTTGGCTCCGACGCCGGCGACGCCCGCGGACGCAACCCTCGAGGTGTCCCCGCCTGAAGATAATGTCCTCAGCTGAGGTCTTGATTGATCACTGCTGTCCAACCGGAAAGAGATCAATCCCCAGAAGAGTCGCTCAGAAGGGAGATGAATCCAATATAGGAGGGGATCCACCCAGAAGAAGGGACCAAGAAGAGAAACGCGCCGCGAGGCGCCCCTGATTCGCCCCACATCTTCGATGTTCGGGGTCGATGTTTGGCGAGACTGTGTGGTAGACCCAGTCAGGCTGGTTGGGTGCAGCGACATGGATCCAATTATCCATGGCAGGGTACCCTGCCACACATCACATCACATCCCTTCATGGCAGGGTATCTACCACGCACACGTAGCAACCGTGACCACATCGCACGAGTTCGATCAAAATCGTGAGCTGCTCAGTTCTCCCCAGCAGGTCGAGTCGTGGAGAGAAGCGATTTCACAGCTCTTTTCGTTCTATGGACGGGCCATTGGGAATTGAAATGGGCATGGCATGGAAGTCTGGTTGCAACTCTTGGGCTGTATGGCCAGAATTTCAAGAACGGCCAAACCACAAGAACCACATCATGTCCTTCTGCTTTTGGCGCCCACAAAAGCATTCTTTGATAAATGGAAGAAAATATGTA